CACAACCTAGTCTCTAATGCCTGATCCTAAACCTTCTTCCCAAAACCTTACTGTTGTCTTTGTAATTCCTAGCCATTATCTTGCACTACAAAATATTATGGTTTGGTGTTAATACTCTCGGCATGGTAGTGGCTAGTTAAATGGTGACAATCAATGTTTCTACAAATAATCTGCCAGATGTAAAACTGGCTCTAAACATATTTTTGCCTTTCCCATGGCTTTTTGTGCAAACATCCTGTGCATTCAATACTATGGTCTGATTCTTATAACCCACACGATTATTATAGGTGATTGGTATATCAGAAGCAGAAGAAGGCAGCCATTTTGCCTTCCATGTCACATGAGTTAAAATGTATCACTAAAGTTTTTCTGGAAATCCTGCATTACTCAACCTGTCCTGCCATTCTTCATATGAATACGTCTTTATTCTTTACAAGTAAATATAATGTTTTTTCAATTTCCCAGTTAATTTTAACTAATTTGAGGAATGCCTCTCAGCCTTTACTAGATCTGAGTGTCCCCAGTCTATAAAGTCATCTCAGTTTTATTTTGTGGGGCAATGAAAACATTAAACAGAAACTGTTAGAAAGTAAGTGTTTGTTAAATATCTGACCCTGCTGACTCACTAAACCGCAGCCAGGCAGGACGGCTCAGTTTCTCATACTTTTCTTCTACAACAGAAAATCAAACTCATGCTTTGGCTGTTTCCAAGTTTTTGTAAGTTAAAATGACTGAGATTGTTCCGTTTGTGTGAAATGTATTTTTGTTACCACACCCAAAAAACAGTGAAGGGAAATATAAAGAACTGCTTATTTCTGGTTTTAAACAATTGCTACTTGGCTCTCATCTGGGCATCCAGACCGGGGCTTAGCAACGACTAATTAATGCCTTCTACACCGAAATACAAAATTACACAATCTTTAGCAGCAAATCTGGAAACAGTGATATTCAGAATATCTTAGTCACAGGCTCCTTCAGGTGTATAATTCATTCCCCAGAAATACCCAAAGTGTCAACACAACTGAACAATATACTCCTGTACTCTGTCTTCAGGAATCGCACCTTCCTTAATTAAAATCCTATTGACACTGGAGACGAGAAACTAGAAGGGACAAGAGAAATTATTATATATCACTTAAATATCCCTTTGTTTCCAGCAAGTCGCAAAAAATGTACTTAGTTCCATTTCTTGGATAGCAATTACAGATGTCGACAAAGAGCTCTAAAACTTGCTCTACGAAGGGATTTGAAATATTTTTTGACATGGTTTCGCGTGGCACAATTTGGACCATGGTATTTAAATTAACAAAATAGAGCTTTAGGGAGGCTTTACCACAATAATAAAGTAAAGATTCTGTTCCTTTGCTTGTAATTAGCCTAAGCCCCAATAAAAGTGCCTTAAAATGGAATTGTAAAAGAATTGTCTGCATGAAAACATATATAAATGATAAACAATACTTAGAATAGCTATATAGATCTGCTGTGATCATGATTGTCCCTACCATGTGTACCAGACATTTAGCCACATATTTTCCCCTAGTTCATCGTCTTCCCTGGCACCTTGCCCCACTGGGCTGACTGCTATAGCCATGAACCTCTGTCCTGGGCAGTGCATTTATTGATGGCATCTGTTCATATCATGAGGTGACATAGTAGACCGGCTCGTGAGAGAACACTCACATGCCAGAGTGGAAATCAGAGTACAAGCTTATGAAAGTGTCAGTGTTGTGCACTTATATAAGATGTAATTGTTAGAACATTTAACAATGGCTGCTTAGCACCTAGAAACTGCAATATCTCCAATATCTACATACTATCTTTCCAACTAATCCCATCTCTTCATCTACAACTCATCTCCTCAACTACACCCCATATCTTCATCTACAGTTTCTCTCCTCAACTGCATCGTATCTCTTTATCTACATCCCATCTCTTCATCTACAGTTCACCTCCTCAACCACATCACATCTCTTCATCTACATCCCAACTCTTCAACTAAATCCCATCTCTATATCTACAGCTCCTCTCCTCAACAACATCCCATCCCATCTCTTCATCTACAGCTCACCTCCCCATCTACACCCCATCTCTTCAACCATATCCCATCCCTTCATCTACAGTTCACCTCATTAAGTACATACCATCTCTCCACCTACATCCCATCTCTTCAACTATATCCCATCTCTTAATCTACAGCTCATCTCCTGAAGTACATACCATCTCCCCACCTACATCCCATTTCTTCACCTACAGCTAATATTCTCAACTACATCCCATCTCTTCATCTACAGCTCACCTCCTTAAGTACATACCATCTCTCCATCTACATCCCATATCTTCAACTATATCCCATCTCTTAATCTACAGCTCACCTCCTGAAATACATACCATCTCCCCACCTACATCCCATCTCTTCACCTACAGCTAATCTTCTCAACTACATCCCATCTCTTCATCTACAGCTCACCTCCTTAAGTACATACCATCTCTCCATCTACATCCCATATCTTCAACTATATCCCATCTCTTAATCTACAGCTCACCTCCTGAAGTACATACCATCTCCCCACCTACATCCCATCTCTTCACCTACAGCTAATCTTCTCAACTACATCCCATCTCTTCATCTACAGCTCACCTCCTTAAGTACATACCATCTCTCCATCTACATCCCATATCTTCAACTATATCCCATCTCTTAATCTACAGCTCACCTCCTGAAGTACATACCATCTCCCCACCTACATCCCATCTCTTCACCTACAGCTAATCTTCTCAACTACATACCATCTCTTCACCTACAGCCAATCATCTCAACTACATCCCATCTCTCCATCTACAGCTCATCTCCTCTAGTACATCCCATCTCTTTATCTGCAGCTCACCTCCGCAACTACATCTGATCTCTACAGCTACAGCTTATCTCCTCAACTGCATCACATCACACTTTCAAACCTACAAAACCTCCTCTCCGCAATAACATCTTATTTCTTCAACTACAGTTCATCTCCTCAGCTACATTCCATCTCTTTATCCTCAGATCATCTACGTCAGATATCTTCCTATACAGCTTATCTCAACAACTACTTCCCATCTTTTCATCTACAGCTAATCTCTTCAACTACTTCTCATCTCTGCTTCTACAGCTCTTCTCCTCAGTTATATCCCACCCATCTACATCCCATCTCTTCATATACAACTTATCGCCTCAACTACATCCTGTCTTGTCACAAACATCCCATTTCTCCAACTGCATTCTATCTGCTAAACTACATATCATCTTTTCAACTACATTCCATTTGTGCAACTTTAGCCCATCCCCCCGTCATCATCCCATCTCCCTAACTGCATTTCACCTTCCGAACTACTTCACATTTCTGCAACTGCATCACATCTCCCAATCTACATCACATTTTTCCAACTACATTCTACCTTTCCAACTATGTCCCATCTCCCCAACTACATTGCATTTACCCAATTACATCCTGCCACTCCAACTGCATTCCATCATTTCAAATACGTCCCATTTCCTAAAATGTATTCCATCTCCTCAACTACATCCCAACTCTAGAACTACAGTCCATTTCCATAACTATTGACCCAACTATATCCCATCACCCGAATTAGCACCCAAGTCCTGCCACACAGCAATATCTCGATGTTATTCAACAACACTGAACTCTAAAATAAATCATCAGCAGTCTAAATATCTAAGCTGTTAAGCCTTGATATAGTCTTTCTACCTCTTGGTAGCTTTTTTAGCTTGGGGCACATTTTCCCCATGTTTTATTTGGTCTCTGATTGCATATGATACTATTTTCTCATATCCGACATCGTACTGAGCACTGTACTGATGTTCCAGTCTTCATTAACAATGGCTCTGAGTAGTCTTGATAGACCACACTACCCTTCCTGAGAAGATATTAGTTTCTTCTGTACAGTCTGCCATCTGATGAATGAAATAGGCAGAAATATAAAAGAGAGAGAGACAAAGTAAAGGAATAAATGGAGGAGAAAGAAGAATGAGAGAGAAGAAAGAGAGATTAAAAGAGACGATGATTAACAGAATGCTTAATGCTCCCCTGTTCCTGTTAGTAGCGGTAAATGGATCATTAGATAAAAGCCAGGATAATATTGTCAAAGGTCACAATCTCCAACAATCATTGCAAAAGATGAAACGTCTTTGTGAACCCTTTTACCGTGGCGTGCTTAATTATGAAACTAATTAATGGTTTTACAGGTTGGGATGTTTGTAAAGAATAATATGTTATTTTGTTTCTCTTATTCCCTTTTCAAAGACTTCAGATGATTGTTACGCATCCAGTAAGTGAAAGCCGTGAATTAAGCTGGACTAGTAAAAGCACTCTGCTATATCATGTAAATAGGGCGAGCTTCTACATTAGAGGGCGCCCAGCACTCCTGCTGTCTTTGGCCATCGTCTTCCACATCAGGGACCTCTTCTTACATGCCTCCGCACCCCCACAGAGATGAGTATTGGGGGCTATGTGAGTGTGTATATATCTATGTGTGTGTGTTTGCTTAAAGATTACTGAAATATCTATTTGTGAAATGAATAAGAATAGTCTGAATTTCGGGCTGGGGCACCAATTCTCTTGTGGAAGAGTACGAAGCTATGATACTTGGTGAAGGCAGAAGTAAAAACATGTATGTTATACTGTGGAGGAGGGTTAAGAGGAGAAATTAATATGTTTTGTATAAGTGTTTTTGTTAGATGCAAAGTACTATAAATGCATCTTTTTCATATTTAATCTACAGTTCAGAAATTGTCTCATTTGACTGTAGGCTGCTATTTACATTTGATATAAATAGACATAATATATAGCGAAGATTCTGGGCTCCCCTCACCCTCTTTTTTCTTGAGGAATCTAATGCTTTCTTTGTCATAACACAGACCAGTAATGCTCGTGTAATGAAGGGTATGTTTGCAAGTCTCACAAGCAGAGAAGAATGAAACAAGTGGAGTTTAGCTTTAGGCTATGGAGCACTTTAAATGCAATACATGACAAATTGTACACAGAGAGTCCTGGATAAAATCCCACAATGCTAATGGAAGAGGCCTCTATCGAGCAGATAGACCATTGTCACCCTGTGCAGCCTGCAAAGCGCTGGAACCACGGCCAATTCCACGGGATATTCACTCTCATATTATCCAAATCTGGTCATTTTCACATTGGGATAGGTGGGCAGGTAAAACAAGGTGATAGCTCACTGGCGCCTCCTGCACCGTGTTAGTGAAATGTCACAGTTAGAATCAGTCAGTGTCCTCTGCTCCGAGGTGATGCTGAGAAAACCGCACTTTGTAGAATGGACGCAGAATAAATTTCACAGTTTTATAGCGGTTTCCCAGGAAATTCAGCTACTGCATTGCAACTGATTAAATGTCCGCCCTAGATGGTAATTAGTGCTTTCAAAAAAATGACGTGCATCCTTGCAGAAACTTTCCGTCAAAACTTAGCATAACTCCTGAAACAATGAGAAATTCTGTAAAAAGATAACAAAGCTCTATAAACCCTCCAGTACACCGTGATATTTGGGGCTTATTCTCCAAAATGGGAGAAGTAGAATCTGGCCAGGGAATTGCACAGATGAAACATATTTAAAAACGTCCTCGGCTGTGCTATTTTGGCTTCCAATCTAGTAAATTAGTGAGTTCTCTCCAATTCCCGGTTCAGTGGACAAATCTCATATTTCTGCTGAAGATCAAAACTTAGCATAACTCCTGAAACAATGAGAAATTCTGTAAAAAGATAACAAAGTTACAAGCAAAGCAATGACGTTTAATAGAAACTATTTTTAAGCCGCTAATTGCCCAGATGTCTTTCTGCCTGCGGAGTGGTATTGTCCCCAAGGGGAACCGAATGCATCTTCTCGAGACATAAAACTTGTTTTAGGTCGACTGATTGAAGTATATTTGTAAATCACTGTCTTTGTTTTAACGTCTGTAATTATTTATCATTGTGTCTTATTTCTGTGCAATACATCAGCAAGCCATTTTGTGTTTTTTTCTGCTTTCCCAGTTACAGTTCTGACCCTTTGACAGTAACAGCTGCAGGAAAGCATTGTGAGAACGTGTCGCGTCAGCCTACTGCGGACACAATGTATCTGATTGAACTTGCTGACTGTGGCACTTGCTATATGAAGAAGCTTCTATATGGGATGAATTAACTTGTGACAAAGGTTACCGCCGAATTGCTGGTATAGGACAAAGAATGAAAATGAGACCAATTCGGAGCTCTGAAACCCCCAAAATAACCCCCTCAGCGGCTATGAGTTGCATAACTAAGATATTCTGCAGACATTCAGAAGATTGGATGTTTCTAAAGTGGCTGAAACTTTATGCTGATTTAACAGTAACTAGAAGAGTGAAACTTTAGAAAGCATGAGCCTAAATGTTCTATAATGAGATCTAACAACATTTTCCCAACTCCCAAAGGACATGGAGCTTCAGCAAATTGATATTTTTGTGACTCTTCATTCCCAAGGCGGAAGCATTGCTTTTCGGTGCTCCCCCCAAGGACGGTTAACTTTCTTATTTATAGATCCTATAGTGATGAATATATAATTTGTCATAAAAGTATACAACACTGCATGAAGTGGTAATTACTATAAACGTACCAATCGCCAGGCCTGTGCGGGCCGCCATGATGCGGAATTTGTGGGAGTTACTCTAGTTGTAATACTTATTGTGAAGAACTGAGCCTTGTCACGGGTTCTTGGAGAGGCCTGCTGGCCAGCCTCTTGCCTCAGCAATATACCTTGCCCAATGCACTTTAAAAGGCTCTGTTCATGTGAGTTATGTACTTTTGTACTCCAGACAGAGAGACCAACCGTTAGCCCTGATTCCCTGGAACTGTTTTGGGCATGGTACCATGTGCACGGTCGGTCAAAAATAAGACTTCCAGGAAATTCCTGAACCCCTGAACTGATCTGGGTGATTTTTGGATATGTTGGTCACCCAGATCAGTGCTATCAGGGGATGGTTTTGTGTGTTTCAAGGCATTTTTGGAGGTTTGTAAAAATGTATGTTTTTTCTGTGCTTGGAGATAATTGGATTAGATTAGTTCAGTTCCTGATCCAATTATCTGCCAGGCAGAGGGGAGGGATTGTATGTTTGTATATGGGAGTGTCATGCATTTAAACTCAATTGGTCTGTGACTTTGTATTGGGGTTATCCACAAGGTCCATGTGGGAGTGCCCCTTGCATGGGGACTTGCATAAAAGGCCAGTGTGGCTACCATTAAACTGAGATTCGTTAACCTCTTCATGAAGTCTTGGCTCATGTTTGGGGGATTGGAGAACTACCTTCACTCTGGGAATTGCTATATCACAATACTTCCCTGAGTATAATCACTAGCTCTTATAAGAGCTGTTCCTGCTACGTTCTCTAGACTAGGAGAGGTCTGCCCAGTGGAAGCTGGATCCTGGTCTTGGGTGGGTGGAGGACGGCGAGACCCCAACCAAGCTGCGGCGTTTCGTTGGGTCTTAGCTGGTTATGGTGTTCCAGTACAGTGCTGCTCGCAAGTACTAGGAAGTAGTGATTGACGGAGGTACCCGGTCGGGGTGCCAGGCAGTCCATCACACTCATTCCCTCATGCTCACTTCCTTTCTCCCGGTTGGAAGGACAGTAATAGTTCCCTGAGCAGGGCTCAACTAAGGCCAGATTAACCTAGTGACTATGGGGGCTGATGCTCTAGGCCCATGCCTTGCAGTAAGCTAACACTGGATGGTAATTTGCTGCTTCCTGACTGAGGGTAATGGGGGAGACAGGTCGACAGATGCTTTCAGATGCACAGTTCCTATTTCAGGCCTTCAAACAGCCCTGTAACGGAGCTCCTTGTACTCCGACCGAGTACCCTCCGTTGACGGATGCTCCTAGCGCTTCTTGAGGACTCCAAGCACTGCAGCAGACACCGCAACCACCGCAGACTCCGCAACTGCCGTATCTTGACTGGAGTCTCACCGTCTTCCTTCCACCCTGGATCAGCTTCTGTCCTCCAGGACTGTGTGGGAAAGAACTCTTCCTTCCACCCTGTATGAACCTCCAGCATCCAGGACTGTGTGGTGAAGACCCCTCCTCCAAGGAGAGCGTGTCAGGAACAAGCTCTTAAAAGAGCTAAGTGACTCAAGCTCAGGGGAGCATGCAGAGCATAGCAATCCCCAGTGTGATTATAACAGCTCCCTCCAATAACGAGACAAGGCTACGTTTAGAGGGATCAAGAAGAACTGTCAAAACCTTTATTCCCTTGGGACCAGCCAATACAGTCACCACAATAACATTGTTGTGAAACCTCAATAAAATCACAAACAGTCAAACCATATCAAGAAACACACAGTGACTTATCACAACACAATGGCACATTTTTAAAGGGGTGGGGGGAGACAATATTTAACAGTAAATATCTCACCTGCCTGCAGAATTAGCAATATGCAAATCTACCCGAATATGCAAATGAACCAGTCTTGCAAATCAGGTAGTGCATATTGCTGTTGCTACCAACAGAGGGCACTAGACAAGCTCCATAGCCAAACCCACCTAGTTGGTAGCAAACCTCAGCAATACAAGAGAGCAGGCAATACATTACACAGTACACACACACACACACAATAAACAATTACATTACACACACCCTGCACCTATAATGGGTACAGGGTGACTAAAACATAAGATAAATAAAGCAGCCTACATAAATAGTCTGTCTGAAGGTAGACTAGGGGCTTTAAAGGCAGATACATGAAAGAGTCATAGTCACAGGGGAGGAGGCTGGCAAGTAGGCCTCTCCAGGACCAAGTGGCGAAGGGCACTTCGTCACAAGCCCCTATTGCGGAGTCCTGCCATCTCTATTTAGTTCTCTGGTGTTGTGCATGCATTGCCTGAGTGCATCAGCAGATTGGCTTTCACTGTGTGTCGGGCATTAGAAACCAGTTATAGTTAACATTATTAAATAATAAGTACAAACATAGGAATTGTAGATCTTAAGGTTAAATTCAATCGCCAGGATTTGACACACTGTGTTTACTTATTCTCTATATTTAACAAACATTTTGTGAGACCTGAAAAATAAAATTAAATGTTATAAATCGCCCCATTGTAGTCACCTCTCTCCTGTAACTGGGGGGCTCCATCTTATTATAAGCTCCGCCCTATTCAGCCTTTACATCTGTCAGTCAGCATTTACTTGTGTTTCTCCTCCCCCAATGCAATGTGTGCCTTTGCTGTGCCAGGACTCAACTAAATTGTGATGTCACTTGCTAAATCTTTATTATACATGTTAACATAGAACATCGCTTGAAAAAAGGTTAACACAAGTTATGGGTGAATTTCAATATATTATATAATTGTGTAATTTCCAGAGAAGTGACCATTTCCTTTTATATTTAAGAACGTTGTAATTTTCCTGAGCGTCTGTCTCTATAGGATAAAAGGCTTGTGGATCTGCGCGGCTCTGCAAATGTCCCACCCTGAATACAACAGCCCATTATTAATTAATGTTATGTTTTATATAGGAAGCAAATAAACAAGCTCTACGCTATATTTAATTTAGTTTACAAAACCATGTGTGAAGAAAACATGTTTTGCTTGAAAACTGGTAATATTTGAATCCCATGAAAGAAGCGTGTATTTAAATTCCCTGCAGCTGCGAGACGAGCACACAATGGCTTTAAGATGCGCAGAGGATTAATTACGCCGTTCTTCTAACAGAAAATAAGTACACTGATTGGGAAGTACTGGAGCCCACTTCATGCTCGAAGCTGTCACAGAGAGGACAAGGGACGACCGGTTTGTACAGATTCCGGTGACAGCAGCTGTGACAGTGACTGGCTGCTTGGGTCAGAGAGGCAGTGACTTGGCAATATCTGAATTACAGAGAATATTAACCCTGTGAGTGCTGAGGGATGAGATTATCCCACTTTACACCTGCTGGCACTGAAAAGGTTAATCTACAGCATCACCGTCAAGCCCCATCTACAGACAGCCAGGAGCTTGTGCTGGCATGGGTTATTACCGGGATCGGTTCCACAATTTCCCTAAATGTCTGCAAGTTGGGGGTCACACATTGACTATACATTGACTCTGAAGAGGAAACGTGAATATTGAGCAAAAACCTTTAAGTTCTTTCTCTTAAGAATAAATAATATATGATCAAAAAAATCACATTAAATAAAAACTTGCATTTCTGAAGGTTCTAAATATAACTAGTCCTCTATGTAAATATTAAAGTATTTTTCTAAATGGACATTTAGTTTATTGTAAATTTTGGTTGAAAAACATGTTGTGATTTTTTAATTTCATTTTTTTCTTAATAAATCAGACCAGTGGAAACACCTACCGATATTACTTTATGGAAAAAGAAAAGATTTTCATTAATGTCCACTTAATAGAAAACAATAATTGATACAACAATGGCGAGATGAAACAGTTACAAAACAGCAGATTTTCTACAGTAGATGATAAGGGGACAATGCAGCTGGCTTTATAGTGTATCACTACTACAATGTAACAATGCAGGTAACTCTATAGTGTATCACTACCATAATGTAACAATGCAGGTAACTCTATAGTGTATCAATACCACGAGGTAACAATGCAGGTGACTCTATAGTTTATCACTACCACAATGTAACAATGCAGGTAACTCTATAGTGTATCACTACCACAATGTAACAATGCAGGTGACTCTATAGTGTATCAATACCCTGAGGTAACAATGCAGGTAACTCTATAGTGTATCAATACCACAATGTAACAATGCAGGTGACTCTATAGTGTACCACTACCATGATGTAACAATACAGGTAACTCTATAGTGTACCACTACCATGATGTAACAATGCAGGTGACTCTATAGTGTACCACTACCATGATGTAACAATACATGTAACTCTATAGTGTACCACTACCATGATGTAACAATGCAGGTGACTCTATAGTGTATCACTACCACAATGTAACAATGCAGGTGACTCTATAGTGTACCACTACCATGATGTAACAATACAGGTGACTCTATAGTGTACCACTACCATGATGTAACAATACAGGTGACTCTATAGTGTATCACTACCACGAGGTAACAATGCAGGTAACTCTATAGTTTATCACTACCACAATGTAACAATGCAGGTGACTCTATAGTGTATCACTACCACAATGTAACAATACATGTAACTCTATAGTGTACCACTACCATGATGTAACAATACAGGTAACTCTATAGTGTACCACTACCATGATGTAACAATGCAGGTGACTCTATAGTGTACCACTACCATGATGTAACAATACAGGTAACTCTATAGTGTACCACTACCATGATGTAACAATGCAGGTGACTCTATAGTGTACCACTACCATGATGTAACAATACATGTAACTCTATAGTGTACCACTACCATGATGTAACAATGCAGGTGACTCTATAGTGTACCACTACCATGATGTAACAATGCAGGTAACTCTGTAGTGTATCGCTACCATGATGTAACAATACAGGTAACTCTATAGTGTATCACTACCACAAGGTAACAATGCAGGTAACTCTATAGTGTATCACTACCCCGAGGTAACAATGCAGGTAACTCTATTGTGTATCACTACCCCGAGGTAACAATGCAGGTAACTCTATTGTGTATCACTACAACAATGTAACAATACAGGTAACTCTGTAGTGTATCGCTACCATGATGTAACAATGCAGGTAACTCTATTGTGTATCACTACCATAATGTAACAATACAGGTAACTCTATTGTGTATCACTACCATAATGTAACAATACAGGTAACTCTATAGTGTATCACTACCACAATGTAACAATGCAGGTGACTCTATAGTGTATCACTACCACAATGTAACAATGGAGGTGACTCTATAGTGTATCACTACCACAATGTAACAATGGAGGTGACTCTATAGTGTATCAATACCACAATGTAACAATGCAGGTGACTCTATAGTGTATCAATACCCCGAGGTAACAATGCAGCTCTAACTCACCTGCATGTACATGAAATTGTTTGTCTTTTTACCTGCTGCAAAAAAAAAACAATTTCTTCGATAAAGTTTATTGCCTTTATAACACCAGACATTAATCTATTCATTTAGGAAGAACATCCATCTATACCTACGCCAGCCTCATGTTTGACAAAACACATGACTGAATTTAATAATGTGATTATTTGCAGATGAATGTACTACAACGTCTTCCACGCCAGATTTTACTCCCCAGAAGCATTTTACCAGCGTCCACAGTTCAGATTGCAATGTGTACAAAACTTGTTTTTTCTAAACAGACGTAAATGGTGAACGGCATCCATTTATCTATTATACGTTATTGTTAACGCTACGTTTTGGCCACTTGTAACCAATATCGACTCAACGTGCGAATCAAACATAGAAGACGTCTAAATCATTTCTGCATGGATGAGATATTGTGATTCTGAAACAAGCTATTTTTTCCATATTGACAAACGTAGAATTCAATATTTAATCAGATATTAATCTCTGCATCTATGAACATATGTTTTACCAGCAAAACAAGAGAATTGTCATTTCTAGTCATATTTAAGGTAGAAAGCTGAAAATATCTGAATCCTAACCCCCTTTACAGGATCCTCGTAGGAAGGGAATAGTTTGCACAGTGTAACAAAGCACCATAATGTATATAAACCAGGAAAATCACGTGCAACAAGGAGGAACGCTTTTACCACACGATATTATTATAGATGTGTTATTTCATGTCTTGTGCATATGACGTATAAAACAGCAATTTAACAGCGATTTAAAACAAGCAAAATGATAAAAAAAAAACATAAAACAACTTTGTTATTTCCCCCCCAAGTTATGATAAATTATCTTTTTGTTGCCATTTTAAGCTCCCTTGGCAAGCCATTTGATTCTTGCGGTCCCAGATTAGCTCTCAAACTCAAATAAATGTGTTTTTGGCACTGTTTGATGACGATCAGTCATTCTGTTTATTAAGATGCACTTTTATCCGATATGTGTTCCGATACTTGTCATTTTGATATCAATTCTCCAATGATTCCAGAGAAGTATGCTTTTCTTGCTAAAAATGCACAATATAAACACAGTCCAATATTGAGAATAAAATATGTCTAAAGCAGAATTTGACCATGAATCATAAATGTCATAAAATAATCTGTTTCCATGTTTTTTTGTTATGGGAAAAGAAGAAAACTTCTATGATTAAAACTATATTCTGGGCTTCCTTTCTGCAGGAATGTTTTATGTAACGACTCTTCGAGACATGCTTTAAATTAACATAAAAATCTACAAATACATTTATTTTTCTGCAAATGGAAAAGGGGCCAAATTTATCTGGACACCCAGAACAGGAGAATGTTAATTCCAATCAAAAAGTGACCTGAAAAATATCTCCACTAGTTGTGATGCTCCAGTTAATGAGGAAAAAACCCTTTATGATAAATATGATCTTTTTTTTTTCTAACAGATT